CTTCAAACCGCTGATTTATTTTAACGTGAACCCGCTGCTTTTAGCAGCGGGTTGGTGCAGATCCGCCAAAAAACAAACAACACCTAAGTCACCGGAGTGGTTATTCCGGTCACAAATTAGTCACGGATCGTGTCCGTGACTACGCTTAGTCACGGGAAATAGACCGTGACTAGAATTAGTCACGCCCATATAGTCACGGATTTAGTCACGGAAAAAATCTGTGACTAGCAGAGTTAGTCACGGATTTTTAACACTACGGTCCGTGACTAAATCCGTGACTAAGTCCGTGTTTTTTTGTAGTGAGTGAATCACATCGCACACTTTAATTTTTCTTAAATATTTTAGGGAAAAGTATAGAAAAAGATTTGGCGGCTATATGTGTTTTCAGATATGAGTCTATGCTTCATTTCTTATGAAAGTAGTCTCATATTTTAAATCTGTATGTACGTACTGTAGGTGTTCGGCGCCTAAGCCTAACACTATTAGAAATTGTTAGAGGGGGGCAAATCGGGCAATCAACAGTAACTCAATCCGATATTCAAAAGTGTTCGAAAAATTAAAACAGATTATATTGACCAACTTATTAAAAAGAGTACGTTCAAAATTTTCTAGGTAACAAATAAATTATATTAAATAAATTTTTGTTATTTATTAGTGTTTAATCTATTTTAGTAACTTCTAAAAAACATAAATATATTAGCTATTTCTTGCCAATTCATGAAAAATAAATATAGTTAAATCATTAACAAAAACTATTAAATTTATTTCTAGGATATAAAAAGTATGGATATTGGTAAAACTGTTAATTTTGAAGAAGAAAACCTGAAAATCATAATTGTTGAAAAAGATGAAGTTTGAATCTCTTTTGATAAAAATTAAAAAATAAGATAACTAGATTTGTGAACTTGATGATAGTTTAGGACAAAATAAACTAATAATGCTACGTTAGAATCAACAAATGACAATTACTGTTATAATTTACTGTTATTAAAAATTCAAAAACTTTAATATAAACAATTACACCAAGAACTTGTTTTAGGATATTTTCAAATCAACATATTATAGTGGATTGAAGTTCTAAAAACTTTGGCATATTACTCCCTCCGTCCCGCTAAGAATGTTTCATTTTACCTTTTCGGAAAATCCCACTAATATTGTTCCATACCAAATTTGGTAAAGTTTGTGTGGCTCTAAAATATTCTTACTTTATTCTTACTTTATCAATTTAATATCAACCACACAAACCCATTTTTCTTAATAATCGTGTCATCTTCTCTTGTCCCAATCTTAGTGGGACGAAGGTAGTATGTTGAATTCCCACACCAGAAAACGTGTGAAGGAACTAAATGCTATATTAAGATCCGGAATACTCCTCCTAACAGATTGACCTTTTAGGATGAGAAAAATTGACAAGAATAATCTCATATTTCAGTGGTGATGGAGTATATGGCCCAGGAACCCCCGGCCCATAGACTCCTACTTCTCCTACACAAGTCCATTGAGCTCAGGAAACAACTCAGGCCCAAATACAACGGCCCAAGCCTCAAAGTAGCCCAAAATACATACTACGGTGCCTTCGACCTCCCTGGCCGAGGGCTCCAAAACTCACAGAATAGCCTTCTCTGGCATAAGAAGCTACTGGGAGAAAACGGCGAAAAACATGAGCCTTCGGCACTATCGAGCCCTCGGCACCGGAGAGGCCTTCGGCTGAACCAAGCCTTCGGTCACACAATGCCTTCGGCTACACAGGGGTCCTTGGTTACATGGAGCCCTCGGCTACATAAGGAGCCTTCGGCCAAACATGTTCAATCATCGAAGATTCCTTTTAGAGACAGCCAACCACCGCATTTAATGTCACGTCACATCCGCCAACCGCAATCAATGCGGTGGACGTACCACTGCCGGTGCCAACCGGCTGATGTGACCCTTCGGCCGTTGGATTACTGACACGTGTCCCCTCATCGCATTTATTGCTGCTATAAATAGCAGCCCATTTCTCCTTGTAAATCATGATCTACATCCCAACTCCACATCTCGAGTTCATTTAATAAATCGACCCTCTCTCCTCCTATTTGCTCTGACTTCTCTCTAGTTATTCCCGCAATAACCCTTCGGATAAGATACCCCCCGGGTAGACTATCCATCAAGTGGTCTTCTCATAATAATCCCATTTTTGCACCTCATCTTCTTTCATTGGACCCTGACCAAGTTTTTTAATCTTTGTTTGAAAATCATATAAATAATCTCACCTTTCACTTTTTTATTACATATTTATAAGTGTGAGATTATTTATATAAGATTTTCAAAAAAGGGTAAAAAACTTGATCAGAATCCAATGAAAGAAGGTGTGATTATTCTTGTCAATTTTTCCTTTAGGATGTAAACCCGAGTTTAGTATTAGAATATTCCTCCGTCATAGTATTAGAATATTCCTCCGTCAGTATTCCTCATTTCCTTGTTTAGAATATTTCGAAAATATTCCACTTACGCGAAGAAGCATTTGGTGGTGGAGTTTTGTAACCACCAGTTGTTCAATTGATGACTAATGAGTTCTGAGTCTCATCTACTTTTATTTACTTTTATAGGTTTAGTTTAATTTATTTAACTACTCCGTATGATCTAATCCATTATAATTTTGTCATTTGTACTTAATGCGTAGTATTATTTATTTAACGATAACCCATTTTGATCTACTCCGTATTTAAGTGTTTGTGATACGACATAATTTAATTACGTCTATTTTTAATTGTTCTACTTTAATCTGATACGAAGAATCTTAAAAATTACTTGTATATGATACACTATGTCAATTAGTCTCGGTTAGAAAATATTGTTCTGAAATCAGTTTGACAATCTTATTAAGAACGAAGACTGATTGTTATGTAAGACAATCAACATAACATACATTAAAAATAATGTTGGAATAAAATTTTGGGGTTTAAAAAAAATCCTGATGAGTACAGACTACAGAGTCAATAGTCAAATTTCAAAACAAACCTTTGTAATATGTAACAATATAGATTCTAGAGTAAATAAATTTGTAGTGTTCAATTTTAAGAAATTGTTCCAAATAGAAATAAAACATATGCAAAGTGTATAAATACCTATATTTTTATCTCTTCGTATTCTAAAGTTTATTATACTTTCTTTTTGAGATGTATTTAAAAGTTTTCTCTTAAAAAAAATACTATCTATATTAGAGTTACTTATTTAATCTTCTTTTTACAGTGAGGAGGCCTTTAAAATGTACATGAGCTTTTTGAGTATTCATTATCCCAAAACAATCTTCTTAGCGCCAATTTTGCGTGTGTGCGAAGCTAAGATTAAGAGAAGATTAAAAATGCACTGCTACTATTTTTTCTACACCATTCATTATATTTACTATTTTTTTTAAATTATGTGTCAAAGTTAATGTAACAATCTTTAAAATACGAATGAAATATTTTTTCTAAAATGCTCCCTCCCTTTATGTGATAAACTTTTGAGTCAATTCCTTAAATAGGACTAAAAAGTGGCAAAATTGCACAAATAAGACTAAATTTTTTAAATTCCCTTAATATGACTATTTATGTGTGTTTGGACAAATATACCCTTGTAGCTTGTGAAATGTTTTAATTAATAATAAAATCATAAAAAATAATAAAAATAGAAAAATACTAAAAATCGTAAAAAATAATAGAAAATTAATAAAAATATTTTTTAAAAAAATAAAAATAAAATTATATTTTTTTTTTAAATTAAAAAAAAACATTACCACCCCTGCCACCCCCAGCACCACTAGCTCCCATCACCAGAGAAAAATATGCCAACATTTTAAATTATGCCATAATGATGGCATATTCAATGAAAATGTTGGCATGTTGAAGAGTAATTATGTCATCTTTTTGGCATTTTCAGAAAAAGATGGCATTTTATTTACTAAAAGTGGAAGAAATTTCACCAATCGGAGGTGGTGGTGTTGGGAGACGGCGGGAAAGGTATCCATAATTTTTTTTATGGGTTTTTACTATTTTTTATTATTTTTTTAAAAAAATTAAAACAATAAAAATTAAATTTTTTATTTTATAAATATTTTTATAAATTTTTTATAATGTTTTTACGTTTTAAATATTCTTTTACGTTTTTTTAAGATTTTATTATGTATTAAAACATTTCATTATGAATTACTACGTAATACTCTTAGGGGTATTTAGGGTAGAAAATCAATGTTTAGTCCTATTTAGAAATTTTAAAAAGTAGTAGTCCTATTTGTGCTTTTTAGAAACTCATTAGTCCTATTTACGATTTAGGACAATTTCGTAAACTTTTTTTTTTGTCAAAAATAATGAATTTGTGGTCCATCTTATTTTTTACCCCCCTGCACACTTCTTTTTACATTTTATTCATTTAATACTCAATACAAAATTCACAATGTCCAATAGAGCAGAAGTTATACTATCGTATAAATTATTAAATTTTATTAATGTAAAAATATCATAATTATTAATGAATAAAGGCGGTTTGCGGGGATGATTCCTGACAACACAGCCGAGCAAGTGTGAGGAACCGGATTGAGATTGGATATAAATTATAATGAAAAAACTGGATTAAAATGTAAACACTACAGTTTGCAAACACTACAAGAAAAGCGCTTCCCAGCTCTTAGCTTAAAAAAGTCAAAAAGAGCATTTTCAAGTGACAACTTCAAGTTAAATTAATTTCTAATGGTTAAAGCTAGAATTTGCTTTTTACTTTTTCTATTACACAAAAAACACTTATTTTACCAAATACTGTCAACTTTTACTTTTCAAAATCACTTTTTTTTCAAACAGTACCAACTTTTACTATTAAGTAATTTTTCAAAAAATACTTTAAAAAGTTCAAAAGTACTTATTAATAGTGTTTGCAAAAAAAGCCAAATTGAACAAAAAGTTAATCAAGTTTTTTTAAAAAAAGAAAACTATTTGCGTCATTTCTTCATGAATGAATCCTATTCTAAGAAACTTTTATCTACATTAATCTATTCCTTCTCTTATTTTTCGACCATATATAAACATTCTGAAAAAATCGTAAAGCTAAATACGTACGATAGTACTCCGTAGTACGTAATAAGGAATACTACGTACAACGTATTTGTCGCAGCAGTGTTCATCTTCTTATCTGTCTTCAGCATATATACATAAGGCCTCTTAAATTTAAATAACTCGGCAACTCGCTATTCTAGAGTCTAGACAATCATGGAGGTTTTGGAGGGATACTACATGACAGCGTTGTTAGCTCTACTTTTTTCTTGCATAATTACAAAGCTATTTTCTGATGCCTTGTCCAGGGATGTCAACAAGACTGCTGAAAGCAGCGGAGTTGTTGCGGCAAAACGATCATCTGTTGATCATGTGAAGATGCCCGATCAAGATGCAGGACAGGTGCTTGTTAAAAAGTCCCAAAAGGTTGAGCAATGTTTGGATGCGAGTGATGGCGGGTTTGGTGAAGAGGACTCAAAGAATATTGAATTTTCAGAGGATGGGGCTGTTACAGAGAAGGTACGAGCCTCAAAGCTCGATGCTTTTTGTTCTCATATTGAAGGGGAAAGAACCATGACAGGAGAAACCGGGGTGGTCGGGACTGGAGCTGGATTCAGAGAAGATGATGAGGATCAAGATTGGGAAGGAATTGAGAGAAGTGAGCTGGAGATGGTGTTTGGCAAGGCAGTTAACTTGGTGGAGTGTGGGGGAGATGAAGCTCTATCAAATCTGGGAACAGAGTTGCAGATGCAGCTGTATGGCCTTCAGAAAGTAGCAATGGAAGGGCCTTGTTTTCAGCCTCAGCCAATGGTATTCAGAGTCTCTGCCCGATCCAAATGGTATATAACCTGAACTACTCCATAGACAATTATATATACTCACAACTTTGACATTATGTGTGGTGTTATTTATATCTAATCTCAATGAATCCCAAACAATTTAGTTTTAACATTTAGCTGTTGTTCGTTTGGGGGGATTTAGCGGGGGAGAGAAAATGGGGATGATATTTATTTTATTACAACTCCGGAATTTATTCTCAGGAATGATTGGTTGAACATATGTAAATGTACAATCAGTTCCTATTCAAGAGACTCAAGACTAACATTCTAACTACTAAAATTATAAAAATAGAAGTAATAAAACAAATTAGTGCTCCCCAAAAATTCCCTCCACTCCAATTTTCTCCAACAAAATAATCCCTTGGTCACAATGAGTAAAAAGCAACTAATCACCCAGAATTGGTTTTATTTATATATTTAAATGTCATGCAAAGTGATTTAGTTTTTTTAAGGGAGTGATTTAGTTTTAATACGTGAGCCCATCAATCCATCTTAAGCACATAATGGTTTCTTTGAATTAATCTGTTTTAAGAATAAATTAGGTGAAAGCAAATTATAGCTATCACCATCACCTTAATCTCAAATATGCTTGGGTAGGTAGCAGTGCAGTATGAAATTTATATTGCCAATTAATTGTTAATAATTGTTAAGCACTGTGAAAGCATTTTAGAAAACAACATAGTACCAATGTTTACACCAGATGTCCTTCCTGCTGCGACCTTCTAACGAGGGAATATACTCCGTTTTTCCCTCATACACTATAAGGTGAAAATCTAAAATCGTCATCTCATAGTTTTTCTCTTGATATGGAAAAGTATACACCGTGTGAGACAACAGTGGGTTAAAGAAGTTTCTAAATCATGTCTTATTATAATATTGATATTAAAAAATCATCATGTAAGAGTTGTATCTGATTCTGATATAATTTACTTGCTGTTAAGTATCTCAGTTGTAATAAATGAATGCTGGTGAACCTCAAGAAAGCACAATTTTCATTGAACCTTGTGTTGCTACTGATTCAGTCGTGCACAAGCTCCCACATCACATTATGCTTCGTGTGTGAATGCATTGCTGATTATAACTGGGAAAGAACCCCACAACATGTGAGTTTTGAATATGTTAGATATAATAGGAAGACTCTGAGAGGATTAGGGACGCAAACTAAATGCAACTGCATTGTTGGGATGACCATAGACCTACCTTTAGGGTATAGTTTGATTGCTAGTTATAAATAACAGGAGCAAAAGCTGCTATGTTTGTGAATGATGGAGGATAGTAATTCCATTGTGCAAGGAATGCTTGGCAAAGACTGGGAAGCATAAGCTCAGAGGTGGCTATGGAGCAATACGTTAAACTTGTTTCTGATTCTGTTCCTGATTGGGTAAGATAGATGTGCCTTCCACTTTAAAACCCTGTTTGGTAGCCTCATCTGGCTTATTCTGTTCAGCGCAAGTAGATTTTGGCCTATGTGGCTGAAATGGATGTTACCAAACATTTCCCCTTTAAATAAAGCTAACTCATCCATCCATTTCAGCCAAACAACCCTTACCAGAAAGGTCTTAGGTGTCACTTTTCTTTCAACCTTACCTCAATTTTAAAGTTGGACAAATTCATGATGAGCACATTATTTTCTGCAGGATGGTTGTGTAAGTACTTCAGAAACGGTAAAAGGTGATGACCCTGGTAGTGAAGCCTCTTCTTTGACACTCCATTTGATTCTTTATCTCTGTTAAATGATCAATTTTTGAATTTTGTTGACACTATCTTCATCTTGTGTAGGTAACTTGAACTGAAACAGGCAGGTGAAAAGTGAGATTTGCTAGCAGCAATATAGGTGGTAATGTTTTAGCTAATCCTTTGAACTGTTTATACTTCCTTGATGCTAGATGTGGTATCCATATTGGGAAATTATGGTACAGATGTAATCATGTAAAATAATGGTATAATGTAATAAAACTTTCTTATGGGTATTATTTATGATGTAGCTGCCTCTATCTGGATTATTTTTCCAGGAATAAGCAAGATGGGAATTGATGGCCAATTGCTTCATGTTCATCTGATCTTCTCTGATGACTCAATCTGAAGATGTGTTTCACACTTTCACTAATTGCAAGGCCTTTTGTGTCAGAGTAGTAAAATTGTTTTATAGTTCTAGAGTTCATTACTCCTTGATGTGTAATGTTTATGGTTATGTAAAACCTTAGATGTGTGATGATGTAATTTACTTCGTAATCATTTATAGTGAAGCAGAGGTTATCGTTGGTTAATGGAGTAGTTCAGGTGAGTAGGTGACAGAGTTCCATCCCGAATTATTTGGTCGGATAATGTTTATGAGGAAAAGAGATGCAAAAAACTTTACAAAAACTAGATTATGTATTTTTTACTCCAAGAAAAACAAATCATGTATTTCGTATAGTTTTAAATTTTTATGAAATTAATTCAAAAATACATCCACACACCCTTATCTCCACCAAACAAGCTCTTAAACCAAATAGCAAGGGGCGAATTGAATCAATTGATGAGAGGTTCACTTTTAACTTCTATATTCTGCTGTTCTAGAACTAACTTCTTCAATTTATCAGTTCGGCACAAGAGAACTCACATAAATCCAGATGAGAACGTGTCGAACTTGTAACTTAATGTGAAAAATAATCATGACATAATTTGTAAGCAATTACTACTACCTTGTCAGTCGATTAAATTTTTGTTAATTTTTTTTTTTTTTTGATTAAATTTTTGTTTGGATACTCAAAGTCAATTTTTTTTGACTTGGAATAATTTCAATCTCAAACCAAATTACACTAGAGCAGATCAAACTTAAACAGACCAGATCAGATCAGACCAGACTTAAACAAATCATATCAGACTTCGATAGTTATACAATACATATAAAGCATACATTTATCATATTAGATCAGTTCAAATACACTTAAACAGACCCGACTAGACCAGAAAATAAAATTAAATAAAAAACATCCTAACTAAAAAAAATATACTCCGTATTAGTTTATTACAGAATTAATAACATTCTTACTGTCAAAGCAAAAATTTTCGATATTTGTTGACCGGGTAACTGCATTTGCTTTAGGTTAGCCATGTTTAGCACATCATCATACATCGGTATGACCTGTAGAGAGCAAAAGGTACACTATATAGTTCCTCGGGCTGATCCACAGGTTTAGAAGAACCGCCACCAAAACGCATTGGGAGAGCCGCATCTGTTTTGCCAATAGTCATTAGGTGCTCCTCTTCTTGAAATAATTGAGAATACACTGTATTTAGACTGGGTATAGGCTGAATACCAACAAGTTTGAACGAGCATTAACACCCATAAAAAACAATCGAACTTGGTCAGGTTCACGTCTTTTGCGTAAAATAACAAATACTTCACACATACCACTATCACCAGAAGATTTTGGTAAAGCATTGAAATCATTTAAGTCATCCCATAATTTCTTCAATCGTCCATACCAGTCCATTATAGACTCGTCATTTTTTTTGTTTGCAATCAGAAATCTCAGCCTTTATGTGATAAATTCTTAAATCGTTTCCAACAGAGGAATATTGTTTGATATCTTCCCACATCTCGTGAAACATGGATCGATGGTGTTGAAAATGCATGCAATAATCATGGAATTTACATCATCACTCTTCAAGATTAGGATAACCTTCATCGATCTGGTCGTGTCATTCCTTCATGGCATCAGATCGACATGTTTAGAATTCACTAAATTTCTTTACCGTGTCGGGTGATAACAAGGAAACTTATACACGGAATCCTCTGTTTATCCTTAATTTGAAGATAAACTAAAGGTTTTCTTTAGGTTTGCTTAGTTTTTACGAGATGTATGCTTAGGTTTTCTTTCTTTTGTTCACTTAAACTAGATAACCTAAACCAAATTACACAAAAAACCAATTTACACTTCTAAAACAATCATTACCCATGTCATTACGAGATGATTTTCACAAGGAAAAGTGAAAAGAAAGACAAAAGAAAAAGAAAACAATGAAAACAATCAATATCATGGTGGGAGCCTAGGACTGCCAAAGAAAGGAAAAAGAAAATAAATAAAAATGAACAAGCTACTATACATCAACACACTACTATATGCAACAACATTTAAGAAAACAAATTGTCTTGTTGGATGAAAAATTTGTTTCAAACATTGATTTTAGGTGGTCAACTTGTCAAATCAACTAAAATTGGTCAAACCAGCTAAAAAGAATGTGATGAAGAAATGTATTTTAGGTCATAAGGGTATGATGATAGTTTGTATTGGATAGTTTTGACATCTAGGTGTATCAAAAGCTTGTTATTCAACTCTTTTTCACGTTCAGTTTGATTTAAGATTGTCTCTAAATATAGCTAGTGTTATAATTATTGATTGAGTTGAAGAAATTTAGACTGATTATGAATTGATTGGTCATGTCAAACATAATTTAAATTATCAAACATCTTACTCGAAATGATAGGATTACCGATTTTGTCAAGATTGTGAATGAAATAAACCACTACTTATAATATGCAAACATTTTTTAGTTAACCGAATGCATAGTTACTAATCTATTAACACAAAAACTATCAGCTAAAGTGCTAAACACACCCACTATGGCTGAATTGGAAGTTGATATTTTCAACGACTTCAACCATTGTTACAATAATTTTAAACTCTACGAAATGGAAATCATCAGCAATAAAGAATAAAAAGAAGATCAAATTCGTATCGGCCGCCACACCCATTTTCACACAAGCGTGGAAGTAAACGACGACGTTGCCTTTACATAAAGCATAAACGCAGATTTTCCTAACCATAATCTCCCCAAATAATTGATGTATTTCATCTTTAGTTTTATCCAGCTTCTAATTACCATTCGAACGCCTAATCTGCTTTTCCCGATTTCCTTGGCCCTGTATTTAGCTATCATCGATTCAAATTATCGCCTTTTCTCTAACGCCTTAATTTTTTTTTGTAGATTTGCTTTAGGTTTTCTTTCTTTTGTTCTATGTTTTCTTTAATTTAGGCATTTCTGCGTATAAAATTTTCAAGTTTTTTCTAAATCTGCAAATGCACCGTTTGGAATAAACTTAGAATAAAATCAGACGACATACATGGCGACGCATTTTGATCGCTGGGAGAAAGATCCTTTCTTTTCTGCAGCCGAGGAGGTTCAGGAATCTGCGGACAGGTAACCTTTCCCGTAATATCATATGTGTTTCCTTTTTGCATTTTTGGGTGTTATTCGTTCTGCTGTATTAATTTTTTTTTTTTTTGTTTTATTTGCTTGTCGTATTAATTGGTAATATGTATGTATCATGCTTTGGTTGGATTCTCAGTCATATTTTAATTGGTTAAAAATCCTATGTTGGTCAATTTGATTTTCATAAATGAAGGATGGAATCAGCTTATAGAACATGGATTCAAGTGACCAAGGATAAATCTAAGGTTTGGAACTCTGAAGATAAACGCCGAGATCTAAAGACTGCTCTTGGCACAGCTAAATGGCAGGTGAACCCTATAATGGTTATATGCTTATGATTCTATCTATAAACTACAGTGGGATTCTTTTGAGAGTTAATTTTCTGGAGAAGAAACAAAGAACTTATACTTGTGGAATATGGACTATTATTATGAATGACAATGCAGTTAGAGGAGTTTGAGAAGGCAGTTAAATCGAGCTACGCTAATTCCACAGCTGATGATTCAGAACATAGACATAGTGAGTTTGTTGTTGCAATTGACAGTCAGATAAAGAAAGTTGAGAGATCTTTAAATGAGTCAGCCATCTCCCAAGGAAAGCCACCATCACCATGGGTGCGTTTGGATGAGGGGGAAAGGGATGAACTTGCACTGTTTCTGTCTGGGAATGTTCCTCGGCAAAAAGAGAAGCCGGGAGAGAAAGGGCGTTTAGCAGATGTTAATGAAGAGAAGATGGCGGGACATAGAAGAACCGCAAGTGCAAGTGCTGATATAGGTTCCTGGAAGATTGCAGTCACCGATGATGTCGCCAACACACAAGCGGGACCACCTCCTCGGAAGGTTCCTAGCTTTTCAGGATTTCTGAATACGATGGAGTGTGCAGCCAAATTCAAGTTTGGAAAGAATGGTTACAGAAAGTTGAAGACCACAGATTGCCACAATGATGTAGTTGATGCTACTTTACCAAGGACTCAGGAGTTGCCCAGGGTGAGTTAGTTATTGTCTTTTCTTTGTTTCTTTTACATTTTGAACTGTTCTTTAAAATTTCATGAAAAAAGGACACTTTTTGTCAAAGTTATGGGTAAATAGTAGATTTAGTAGTGTAGGGCTTTTTGGTCAGGGGTTTCAGAGGGAAGGGGAGGGGATAATTGACTCTTATTTTACGAATAATATACTCCTTCCGTCCCGTAGAAAGGTTCCAACGTGATTTACAATGTTTGATTGACTATAAAGTTAACTGATCCTTGTCCTTATGGACCTTATTAGATTTTTTAGTAAATAGAATTTACTTATTTAGGAACTAAATTAAAAGTTTTATAAAGTCGCAAAAAAACTCAAATTTGATAAAAGTTGGATATATAAAGTAAAAGATTAAACTAGTGATGTCAATAGCGGGCTATAGCGGAATAACGGGGCGGAGCAGGGGCTAGGCACTATGAATCTGCTTATAGCGGAGCGGTTGGCAATAGCGGTTGTAGCGGGCGCTATAGTGCTGCTATAATATACAGGGTTACTCTAGTGCTAGTTTTGAGGGAATTTGGGAGTACTTTTTACTTTTAGATGTTTTTGGAGTAAAAAATAACCTCAATACACCCTCCAAAACACGTGGGGGACAAAATATCCCTACTAACCCTACTAAGTTAACTCAAAATAGTAACCAAGATCAAACATAACCTATAGCATGCATCTCCATGTTAAAGTAGTTCAAGGCATCCCAGCAACCATGATTTTGTTATAATTAGATATTAATGACTGTGAATGTATTAATAATTATCTATGTTGTAAAAACCGGACCGGTCAGCCACCCGGCCAGACGATTGGGTCACGGGTCAACCCGGTCAACGCCGGAAAACCCGGTCAACATAGAAATTAAGTTATTATTCTAAAATATACAAGTTTTTACAAAATATTAAATGTATTTTAAATTAAATTGACAATAAATATGCTTATTAAAAAATTAAATATTACATAAAGAATTTCACTTATTATTTCTATAATAATACTCTGTAAGTCTGTAGTACAGTGTTCATCAGTGTTGTTATATTTTATTTATCAGTTCATACTTAACTTTTAATGTATTGACTGAGAGCATTTAGTAATAATGATTATTATTTAGTATTATTATTTATCAAGTAAGACTTGGCTTTCAATAAT